CGATGGCCGTTTTTGGAACCCTCAGACTTTGTCTCGGTACCTGCACCATTCCAGACTGTGGACCCTGTGGTGCAGGCTGCTGCACTATCTGTTGAGGCTGTGAACCCTGCGGTTGTGCAGTCTGCGAGACAGCAGGCTGCCCGCTTACGGCAACTTGAAACGGAGGTTGGGAGAACACTGATTGTACATGAACCTGCAAACAAGGACCTGCTGAGAACCTGCCAGTTAAAGGCATACCCAGGGAGACAGACTAAACCAATGTTGGAGCGGTATACGAGGATACCCCAGTCACCGGTGGGACAAAAGGAGGAGGATGTATAACGGGCCAGACACCAGGCCCGGACAGTGATGGTGTCGCCTGCGCTCGCCCGACCAACACGGCCAGACTCTGCTGGGTGTCTTGTAAGATCGTCGTCTGTTGATCTTGCATCTCTACTACTCCTAGCAAGACCGACCTCAGGGTCCTCACTTCATCATCCAACTCCGCTGGGTCCATCTCCTCTAACTCGCTAATGTCAGCTTGTCGCCGCTGCAACCTGACTCTTCTTCTAATCATTGTTTCTTTTTCGGCCTTAATCTCTCCTAAAGCCTTTTGTAGTTGTGCCTCGCGATCAGCTGCTCGCTGTATGGCGACCTCCTCGGGAGTTAACACTAATGGCTGGCTTGCCACGACGCCAGTGGACTGACTCACGGTCCGTGCGACCGGTGACCCAACAGAACCTGAACCACTAGCCTGAGAACTTTGCTGCGCAGCAATGGCCATGGTTGCTGAAGTAAGCTTCGCTTGCGAATGCTCTGCTTGCCTCTGCGTCCCTAGCTCTTCTCTGCTGCTGCTGCCTCTCTCTCTGCTGGCGGAACAAGTATCTGTCGCCCTCTGGTCCTAATGCCAAATGGGCAATCGGGCGTCTAACCAATCGCAAGAGCCTATCGTCCGACTATGGGACCTCCCCGTTGCTCATAAGCTACAGAACTGCACACCGTCTGCACTAGGACACTTGATCGATGCCTACCGCAGCGACATGTACAGACCGATTTATAATAAAATAAAAGTAATAATCGGTGGCTGTTTCAGAGAATGTACATTTGGGTCCAACAGGTAAGTTCAGATTCCTACAAACGAAAACTATTTTACTTTGACTAGTCCGCAAACAGAAGCACAAGGAACAGAAAACAGCTCTAACTAATGTTGTCTGTCAGATGTTAATGGTTGTACATCTAACTAATCAAAATAAAAATAGAATCGTTTGTTGGGTCTGTTTGCAGAATGGGATCTTGCCCGAACTTATCATCGGGAATCTACCCCTCCCTCAATTCTTCTTGAATGTCTCTTGTCGTCAACATCCCTCAGCAATCCAGATAGCGTGCGTGTCTAAAGATGTGCACACGACCCACCCCTGTGCCCCGAGTCGTGCTGAGCTGGCCAGCCCTGCACAGTCTTTATCCTCACGTGAAGCGAGCCTTACACCGACCTATTGGCTGATCAGGAGGCGTTTTTATGGACGGCCCCTGAAGTCCTCAGGAATTATTTAACGTCGCAAACAGGACGACGATCACAGCCAATGGAAGGTACCTCGCCGGTGCTTATTTATAGACACCCGGTCTCGTCTGTCCCCTAGGGCTGGCCTGCCCTTCAGAACCGCTCTACAGCGCAGCGAGCGGACAAAGGACGAAGCAACAAAGCATGCATGCTCTACTCCCGGTGGGTTGGCACGGTGATCGTGACCCAGTGCTTCGTCCAGGGCCCTTCAGATAGCACCGCCCTCTCCTTCCAGATGCTCCACGTGAAGATTGACGACTCTCAAGGTTGAGCGCACACGACTCCTCACATGAGAGGACTCTCAAGACAGAACACACATCCTCACGGTGAGAAGTGTCGAAGAGGGTAGATAAGGTTAGGTGCAACGTACCTCAAAATAGCTGCCCCCAACCACATATATTCTCACCAGATGACCCGATGTTGATTGTGATGACCAATCGCTGCTTCGGCACAACCAGCATTGCACAACTGTTCCACATCAGCACCAATCACACATCGGATAGTTCTCATCACACTGCGAACACTCAATAATCACCACATAGCCTTCCTGGCGATATCCCTCACCTCCTGGGTCGCCATTCTTGTCTCCTCCCTCCTCACTACACACGTCCCATGGCACGGTCGCTCACCGCACACACCGCGTGCATGTACCGTATTAGGCAGAAGACAAGCGCCAGATTAGCGCACTGAACCACAGCTCCGATACCAAATTGCAAGGAAGATGAGCAATAGCGAACTTCAGCAATCAAACAGCATCATACACATGAGACCAGATAGTCGTGACCTCGAACCAAAAGCAGAATTGCATCACGAGTTTCACCACATAAGAGCACACCAAAAGCTCATAATTGACAATGCTGGAATAGTCTCCTCATCATCATCAACGAAGAACCAATGTTGATATCCTATCTGGCGCTCGACGCCCAGACTACGAATGGCAGATCCTATCTAGCCTAGACTACAATGTCGCTGATGACGTCAACATTCTCCCAAGTACGAGCAGACCTCGGCAAATGCCGCACGCGTCAAGCACCAGGTATGTCTCTCGTATCACTCACAACCTCGTTCCCCAACTCACAGATGCCACTTGCACACAAGGACCACCATGCCCCCCATCCAGCATACAGCAGCGCAGCTCGGCTATGGCTGCCTGCTCCTTCCAGCTCGCCCGTGAGCGCGTGAGCCTGGCAGGCGATAGCGCAGCAGCGCTTGCGCACAAAGCTGCTTGCGTAGGCTGCCCAATGCGTAGGCTGCCCCTTTCCTAAATGGAAGTGGCCAGCCTGCTTGCGTGCAGCCTGGCTGCGCTGGGCCCCTGCCCAGAAGCTTCCGGTAGGCCCAGGGAGGCTGAGCCTCAGACCAAACGAATCAGGCCCAGGGCCACCGACAGTTACCTGTGCCCAACTGCCCGCTGTCTGAGTTGGGTCTATGCTGCGTATCTCGCCCAGGGCCTGACTTAGATACAGTCGATAAAGGGAAGCCAGGGCCTGGGTGCCTTCAACCAACTGGTGCTGTGCAACTGCCTGAATTTTACCCAGTTGCGAAGTAGTCCAAAATAGGCCTCTTGTCGTCTGTCGGGCCTGCCTTCACTTAGGGCGGCCGACCTGTTGCAAATAAGGGCCCAGTAGGGCTTATCGAGGCCTATGCCTCACATACTTAACAATGGAAGAAGAAAAGAAAAAAAATTGCAACTTGCGAATAATGATAACAGAGTACAGGTGTAAATAATCAATCAATCAATCAATCAATCAATCAATCAATCAATCAATCAATTGGTCGATCAAGCGCTAGTTGAGCAGCTTGATCCATCAATCGATCGATTGATGATGAGTCATCCGATGCTGGTCTGCTCCGATACCAAACTGTTGCATACTCGTGAAACACAGTCACAAGTATGGCGCAGATTCCCAGAACCAACCAGATAATACAGAGAAAATACAAATACAGCGGAAGACTTGATACACATGGACTGACTCGAACCTGACTCAGACTGCAATCAATCTCTCACAAACATGCATCGGTGGTGTGAAAGCCCTGGCCTTGAACATGGAAGAAGAGGCCAGGGGCTGATCTCATACACAGATAAATGGAGCGGAGGAGAGACGAAGGGAGGAGGAGAGGGAAGACGACGTCAACTCAATGTTTCCAAAAATAGTATCTCGAAATGTCAGAAGTAACGAAAATCCGAAATGTCACGAAGACAGAGTCTCACAGTGTCTCAGATATCGATCTCACAATGTCAAGATACATCTCCAGAGGGAGATGAAGTCAGATCCCAAAAGTAGTCCTCAACCTGCAGTCCCAATGTTGCTATCTCCAATATGATCAGGACTCGTAACCATCCTTCGTAGTCCAGTACCAGTAACCCCAGAAGTCGACTTAGACAGGGTAGGAGGAGAGAGAGAGAGAGAGAGAGAGAGAGAGAGAGAGAGAGAGAGAGAGAGAGAGAGAGAGAGAGAGAGAGAGAGAGAGAGAGAGAGNGAGAGAGAGAGAGAGAGAGAGAGAGAGAGAGAGAGAGAGAGAGAGAGAGAGAGAGAGAGAGAGAGAGGAGGAGGAAGAAGAGGGAGGAAAGGCGAGGCCTTTCTCCCTGGTACCTGGCGAGGCAGCTATGGTGCTGCAGGGCTGGCGCTTGGCCGCGGGCTAGGCCGGAGGCTGGCGCTACTCCGCTGCTGCGCTATTCCTCCTTACTGCTGCGCTCATTCTCTGCTGCTCTTGCTCCTCTTAACGCTGAAACGCTGCGCTAATCCTGTAGACTAACCTCCTGTCGACTCAACTGCCTACTGAGGCTGGTACCCGGCTGACATAGTGCTGGGCCAGCCTCAAGGCTGCTGGTACCTTGGGTCTGGACAGTTGATCTGATTCAACGGTTCAGATCCGTTGCCGGAAACTGAAAGTGGCGGCCTAACTTGGCCGCTGTTCGAAACTGTGCCGCCGGTAGGTCCTACCGCTGGACTGGTACCGGCCTGAACCGATGTGACCGTTGGGTCTGTCTAGACCCCTACACCTAGGCCTCTGGGTTCTAACTGAGCCGCCGTACCCTAACCTAGATGGAACCGAGCCCTAACTGGGGCCCGTGTGGCTCAGAATGCCACACTACTCGTGCTCGTGGCCTAACATGTACTTCAACCACCACAAAAACTTCTTTCGTTCACAGACATGAAGATATGTAGGTAACTAGCCGGGTAGGAAAGTGGGCTGGTAGGTGGGTAGGTAAGTAGGTAGATACGTACCCAGGCAACCAGGTAGGTGAGTCAGAGGATGGGAGAGGTAGGAGGGTAGGTAGGCATATAGGCGGGTGAGTGGGCAGGGCAAGGAAGCGGGTAGGCAACTAGGTAGATGGTAGGGTGGTTAGGAGGGCAGGAGGCAGAGGATAGGGTGGTCAGGTACGCCAGTAGGCACAAGAGGCATATTGACTCTTTTTCAAGGCCGATTTCCTCATATTGGCAGAGGTAAGAAGTAAGCTTACCCGAAATGAACATTTTGTCCTGTGGTTCCCATACCAATCTCGTGCATGTTTGTCTTGCCCGCAATTATTGCTCCGCATTCTCTCAACCTTGCCACGCATGTGGCATCCTGCTGCACGGGGAGTGCCCTCCCCATCCATGTCGTCCCCACTGGTGAATGAACAATTATCGATTCAAATAACGAACAACTGACAAGTCAACAACCCCTATTCACAACACAAGCTGTACACCTGTACAAAGTTACTACAAACTATGGTTGCATTCCAAACATTCGAATTGTGATCCAGACCATCTGGATCCAGATGTCTTGATATGGTGTCCGGTCCAGAGGGTCCAGATTTGGGCCCCATCAAGAAAAAAAAAAAAAAGGGGACAGCCCGCACTGATGAATCAACCAGTTATCAATCCAAAATACCAACAACTGACGATAAGTCAATATGCCCCATTCACAACACAAACTGTATGCCTGTACAACCTATGGTTACAATCCAGACATCCGAATTATGTTCTTGTTACATCTTCTACTCACACGGGTCCTACCGGACCCGACTTAGGGCCGGAGGGACACACCAGGGCCTAAAGGCCCGACCTTTGGGGTTACAGGCCCTAAAGGCCTGATTTTGGACAAATCCCATCGGGTAGGCCCAAACGACACTTCGTTTGGGCCGCGGCGCTCTTGAAGCTGCCGCCCGCCGATTGAGGCTGAACCGTCCATCTGGACGGTCCAGG